AGCCAAACAAAAATAAAAGAAAAGTAAAGATTTAACACAAGTAAAGCCTATTATAGATGAAAATCAAAAAATGATTTTCTTAGAAAATGATATTCAAAATAGGTGGATGAATTTTTTTGATAAATTTTTTAATGAAGTTTCGGAAAATACGATAAAACTTAGTGATCTTAATATAGTTAATACTAATAAAATGTTTTATTTTTACCATCGCATTAAAAGTTGAGAAGGCTTTAAAGAAAACCAAGAGTGGAAAGTCTGTAGGACTTGATGATATCTCAATTGAAGTGTGGAAATATTTAAGAGATTTGATAGTTTTTTGGCTTACTAAACTCTTTAATATTATTTTAAAAACTAAAAAGATGCCTGAGGAGTGGAGGAAGAGTATATTGGTCCCCATTTTTAAGAATAAAGGGGATGCACAAGAGTGTGCCAACTATAGAGGAATTAAGTTGATTTATCATCTCTCATACTTTAAAATTATGAGAGAGGGCAATTGTACATAGGTTAAGACGTATTACAAAATTTCTCATAATCAATTTGGATTTATGCTGAGCAGGTTTATTATGGAAGTTATTCATTTATTGAGAGGTTTGATGGAGAAGTTCAGAGCTAATGAGGAGGATCTACATATGATTTTTATTGATTTAAAAAAAGCGTACGACAATGTTCCGAGAGATATCCTTTGGAAAGCTCTTGAAAGAAAGGTGTTGATATGACTTTTATTCAAGTCATTAAAGATATGCATTTAAGAATATTTACGTGTGTTTGAACAGGAGGATTGACTCTAAATATATTCATATTTCTGTTGGTTTAGATTAGGGATCGACTTTAAGCCCATATCTTTTATCTTTAGTTATGGTTGGTCTTAGACACTTATGGGAGGATGTACCTTGGTGTATGCTTTTTGCTGATGATATCCTTCTCGTGGATCAGACAAGAGAAAAATGCTCATGAAAAAGTTGAATTATGGAGGTCTAACTTGGAGTTTAAAGGCCTTCGTTTGAGTAGAACTTAAACTGAATACAGTTTCGGGTCTCTGTATGTCGAATCCCTACTGATGGCTAAGCTAGGGCTCTGATACCATAATGAAGTAATTGCTCCAAAAAACTCTTTTGTATATTCATAACATGGGCTTAAATAGGGTATTACAAAGTTTTACAAATAAGCCTCTAGACTTTTTCAATATTTCCTTTTTTTCCAAGAAGACCCTAAATAAGGTCCAATTCTCAATAGATGCTAGTCGTAAGTAGGGTCCTACATACTGTGTCGTAGAAGGATCATCTCTGGCTCGGGCATAACAATTTTTGCACCATGCGTATCGTGAGAGGGAAGGTTTGCAGCATGATTATTGATGGTGGGAGCTTTAGAATGTGGTATCCACCATGATGATAAAGAAGCTAAATTTGGCCACGCAGAAGCATCCTTAATCATATTCCTTTTCTTGGTTGAAAATAGGAAATGAGATATGCGTGGACCAACAGTGTTTGGCCAAGTTTTTTATTGGAGACCAATTATAGGAGCAAGTGTGCTACGATGTGGTACTCATAGACAATTGCTATGTTTTGTTGGGGAAGTCAGGACAGTTTGACTGTAAGGCCCAACATGATTGTTTCAAACAACACGTGAGTGTTCAGGGAAGATGAAAGACGTATAGTCCTTTCGCTTATCATGGACTCAAGAGGAGTAGCATCACAGAGGAGACGGTAGTCCCACTAGCCGCCTATATGCAGTCAGTACAAGAGGCTCGAGTGGGAATGAATTTTGTCATGTTGGAGGGAATTGAGGAGGAGATTGAGATATCAGAGCTTATATAACCAGAACTAGTTGGCTTTCAGGGCGTGCTGATTGACAGCCTTCCAAAGTGTTTGCCTCCACTGGGGACATTGAACATGCCATAGATCTCATCTCTTGATCCGCCTTGCCAAGCAGGTCTACCTACAGATGTAGACCTGTAAAGTACGAAAAATTTAAATGATAAGTACATGCTCTTCCTACATATTCTTAATTAATACATATTCCTAATTTAAATGAAGAAGGAAACTTTTTATTCTGCCTGATATAATTCCTTCTTTGTAGTATTACGAAGAAAGAAACTCTTTATTTAGCTTGATTTACTCTTGATTGATATCTCTCCTCAAATTGATGCTGGCTGATCAAGAAACATCAATTTGCCGATAAGAAAATTGATGACGCTGTCGAGAAAAGTCTTAGTAAATATATCAGCCGTTTAAAGATCAGAAGTGATATGAGTAAGAGATATACCACCATCCTCATAAGCTTCTCGAATGAAATGACAGTTTGCTTCACTGTGTTTCGTGTGCTCGTGAAAGACGAGATTAACAACAATCTGGATAGCGCTCATATTATCTGCATGAAAAAAAATAGACTCAAGCTGAGGAAAAACAAGCTTAGCCAGCACACCCTGAAGCTAACTGATCTAGAAAAAAGCAGAGGACATAGAGCGATATTCTGATTCAGTAGATGACTTAGACACTAGATCTTGTTTCTTGCTCTTCCAAGAGATTAAAGAGTTGCTGAGAAGCGTGCACCATCCAGTAATAGATTCAGGGTGTGCTGGCTCAGAACAACTAGTCCAATAGACATCATTATAGACTGATAAGATGATAGGAGACTTTGCAGAAAAGAACAAACAACAATGAGAAGTACCTTTCAAGTACCGAACAATACGTTGAACTGCAGCTAAATGAAGATGTGTAGGGGCTTGTATAAATTGACTAACTTGTTGTACATCAAATGAAATATCAGGACGCGTAATAGTTAAATAATTGAGACTCCCAACAAGTTGTCGATATAGAGATGATTCAGATAGAAATTCACCATCATTCTGTTGATATTTGACATTTACTTCGAAAGAAGTATCAGCAGAGTGACCATCTTGAAGACCAGCCAAAGCAATGAGTCCCTTCGTATAGTTGTGCTGATGAAGAAAAATACCAATGGGAGAAGAGTGAACCTCAAGTCATAAGAAATAAGTTAATAATCCCAAATTTTTTATATGAAAAGAACCCTGCAGACGTTTTTGTAGCTGAGACATCAATTGATTGTCAGATCTTGTGATGATAATATCATCAACATAGACTAATAACAAAACATTTCCCTTGTTAGTTTTGCAAATGAATAACGATGAATCATACTGACTTTGAATAAAAGAGAAGCTAAGATGGGTGGGTTATTGCAAAACTTTTCAAAACTAGGCCCGTGAAGTCTGTTTCAAACCGTATAGAGACCGTTTGAGCTTACAAATATCATGTGAAGGTGTAGAAAATAAGCCTGGAGGAGGAGTCATATAAACATCTTCTTTGAGATCCTGATGTAAGAATGCATTCTTAACATCCATCTGTTTTAAGAACCAGCTTTTAGATGAAGCAATAGATAACATTTGTCTGACAGTTGTAATCTTAGCCACAGGTGCAATTATTTCTTCATAATCAATCCCTTATTCATGTCGATTATCAAGAGCTACCAATCTTGTCTTATATTTGTCAAGAGAGCCATCAGATCAGAGTTTAAGAGAGTAAACTCATTTACAACCAATGGGTTTAGCATCTGTAGGACATGAAACAATATCCCAATTTGAAGTGCCTGAAGTTCCTCTTGCATGACTTTGACCCAGCAAGTCTGTTTAACAACCTGAAAGTAAGAGGTAGGACAGTAATATTAGTTAAAATTGCAGAATACCCATATCTATCTGAAAGACAGATGCACCGAGTTGATCGTCGAAGACTTATTGGAACAATTTCTAGAACAGGGTTGGGAAGGATTGAAGGTGATGGGGGCAGGCGTCGTATGTAGACAATGTCCGACTTAAAACATTTATCCGCAAAAGAATTATCAAATCATGGAAGTATAACTGTATCCGGTGTTGACACATGATACTGAAAGTAATATTCATGTTTAAAGAAAATCACATTCCGAGAATTATGCCAGCGACTACTAATCGAATCATAACACACATCACGTTTATCATTTGAACTGTACCCCATAAAGGCACATCGTACTGACTAAGCTGTCAACTTATGACGCTCATGAGCAGGTAGATGAACAAAGCAAACACATCTGAAAGTATGTAGCATATGATAATTAGGATGTTTACCAAAAAATCGATAGTAGGGAGAATCATACTTCAATTGTTGAGATCATAAACAATTAATGAGATAAACTGCAGTAGATAAACCTTCAGTCCAAAATTTCGCTAAAACAGAAGATTCTATCAGTAATTTGCGCACAATATCCAATAAATGTCGATTTTTTCGTTCAGCAACTCCATTTTGTTGCGGTGTATAGGGACATGACCGTTGTGAAACGATCCCTTTGTTCTGAAGAAATGCTTGAAACTCATGAGACATGTATTCACCGCCATTGTCAGAACGTAAGGTTTTAATGTGAGCGGAGAACTGAGTTTCAACATATGCTA